GGAGCGCGATGGAGACTCCCTCCGCCCGCGCCTGGCGGGTCTCCAGCTCCCGCCCCTGCCTCCTTGGTAGCCGAGCCAGAACTCCATCTGCCATGAGGCGGGGACTCGGTTGACAAGAGGCGTTTTGCCTATGGACTTCAAAAATGGGCGCTTCTACATCTCCAAGTACTTAACATCAGTGTATTTATGTACATAAGCCGATGTGTATTTTTTTTGTAGCCTTCCTTTTTGCCGGAAACCATATTAAAGCTGTAATTACTTTATTTAATGTCACGCCTCCCCTTGCAATGAGCCATCCTGGGCCTGTGAAGAACGCAAGTGTGATGCGCCTCAGCGCTAAGAAGTCGTCAGTGAGCAGGGCCAGCCCGAGGGGTGGAGGCTGGGCGGGGTCTGAGGCCTTCTCCGCAAAGCCTGGCACCCTGAGGCTGCAGACAAGCCTTGCTCTGCTGCTGGAGGAGGACTGCACAAATGTAGACGTGGAGAGAATCTCTGGGCTCTGCCAGGGGGCACAGTGTTCCTGGTGCAGAAGGGGCAGCTCCCATCAGAGCAGGGGGCTAGGTACCAACTTTCCTTCTCCCATGGTGCCAAGAAGATGGGTAAGGCCTGCGGAACTCTCCACTTGTGCAAGGTGAGCCTGCAGGATTTCATTGGCTACCTGAGGTCGAGGCGGCTCTCTATGGCATTGCTCCCTTCCTTTCCTGTGGGTTACATTGCCATCCCACTAAGCACATCCTGAAGGAAGCTCTTCTCTGAGCCCTCCTCAGCATGCAGGCGACAAGTCACGTGCTGTTCCAGCACCCCCAGGCATATGTGGCAGGTCCTGGATGTCATGGAGAGAAGGCACCCCTCCAAGGGAAAGACCAGTCTTATGATACTGCAATAAGGATCCAAGTCCAAGGAGGATTCCAGGACCAAGGACTGCACTGGCCAACTGGTTTACTTTGTAAAAATTGTGTTATTGTGTTTAAGGGCACATCTCTCCACAAGGAAGCCAGGTTCTATCTGAGGGGTAAAGCCATTTGTTTTGTTACTCCACCAAGGAGGAAGAACGTTTCTCAAATTCACATCTTTGATCTGAGCAAGAAAACTTGGACAGTCAAAGAATGAGTGGTCTCATAGGACTGGAAGTTGAGGATGCCAAGACTGCCAATGAGGGAATTGCTGGGGGTTGGGATGGAAGATATTTCGCTCCAGGTAGAAATGAGGAAGCCAAGGAGTGTACTAAAAACTCATGCCACATATTTTGGGCAAGGGAGTAGCTCTCTCAGGTAGTCAGTGAATTGGGTTAGGATCTGTGAACTCTGGGGGCAAATTAGTTATTTTGGAGCCAAGCTTCATGCTGGGAAAGCCACTGAGGCTTGGCAGAGCCTAGAGAAACCCAATGAGTGCAAGAAGGAGTAATGTTTACACCCAGACTATCCCATGGTCTGTTTGTGTCCCCTCCCCCAATTCTATGTTGAAATTCTAACCTTAAGGTGATAGCATTACAAGGGCGGGAGCAGGGGCGGGGTTGATAAGATCTGGCAAGTCCATGGTGGTATGGTATCAGACAGAGAGGGGTCCTTTGAGAAGTGATTGGTCATGAGGATAGAGCCCCCATGAATGGGATCAATGCCCTTATAAAAAGACTCCAGAGAGCTAGCTTGTCTCCTTCCAGCAGGTGAGGCTACATGAAAAGATGTCTGCCTATGAGGAAAATTCCCAGTACTTGATCTTGGACTTCTCATCCTCTAGAAATGTGAGAAAATTATAAATTTATGCTGTTTATAAGCCATGCTCTCTATGATTTTTTATGGCAACCTGAATGGACTATGAGTACAACTTTAGCAGCATAGTTATCATAGTGTACTGTGGTTTAGATGTGGTGTCTCCCAGATGCTCACATGTGAGACAATGCAAGGAAAAACAGTTGGATTATAGCCTTAATCTAATCATGAATTCATCCCTGATGGGATTAACTGAGTGGAAGCTGGAAGAAAGTGGGGTATGGCTGAAGGAAGTGGTTCGTTGGGGCCAGGGCTATAGGAAATATATATATATATTTATTTATTTATTTAAATTTATTTTTAAATAAATATTTAAATTTGTTCTTATTAGTTATTTACTTAAATTTGTTCTAATTAGTTATACACGACAGTAGAATACATTTGACACATTGTGTGCAAATGAAGCACAATTTCTCATTCCTCTGGCTGTATATGGTGCAGAGTCACTCCAGTAGTGTAATCATTTATGTATATAGGGTAATAATGTCTGTCTCATTCTACCGCCCTTCCCATCCCCACAGCCCAACCCCTCCCCTTATTCCCCTCTGCACAATCCAAAATTCCTTCATTCTTCCCTCCCCTCTCCCACTATGGGTCAGCATCTGCTTATCAGAGAAAACATTTGTTTTTTGGTTTTTAGGGATCTGCTTATTTCACTTAGCATGATATTCTTGAGTTTCATCCATTTACCTGCAAATCCCATAATTTCATTCTTCTTTAAGGCTGAATAATATTCTATTGTGTAAAGGTACCACATTTGAAGGGCATCTAGGTTGGTTTCATAGTTTAGTTATTGTGAATTGAACTGTTATAAACATTGATGTGGCTGCATCATTGTAGTATGCTGATTTTAAGACCTTTGGGTATAAACTGAGGAGTAAGATAGCTGGGTCAAAGGTGGTTCCATTCCAAGTTTTCTGAGGTATCCCCATACTGCTTTGCATAGTAGTTGCACCAGTTTGCATTCCCACCAGCACTGAATGAGTGTACCTCTTCCCCCACATCCTCACCAACACTTAATATTGCTTGTATTCTTGATAATTGCCATTCTGACTGGAGTAGTTTTGATTTTCATTTCTCTAAGTGCTAGAGATGATGAACATCTTTTCATATGTTTGTTGAGTGATTGTATTTCTTCTTTTGTGAAGTGTCTGTTCAGTTCCTTAGCCCATATATTGATTGGGTTATTTGTGGGGTGTTTTTTTTTTTGATGCTTTTTTTTGTGGGGGTGGGGTTGGGGGTGAACCCTAGGGATTGAACTCAGGGGTGCTTGCCCACTGAGCCATATCCCCAGCCTTATTTTGTATTTTATTTAGAGACAGAGTCTCACTGATATTTGTTTAGTGCCTCACTTTTACTGAGGGTGGCTTTGCACTCGCGATCTTCCTGCCTCAGCCTCCCCAGCCACTGGGATTACAAGCGTGTGCCATCACACTTGGCTGGTGTTAAATTTTTTGAGTTCTTTATATATCTTGGAGATTAGTGCTCTATCTGAGGTATGGGTGGTAAAGATTTTTTTTCCCCATTCTGTAGTCTCTCTCTTTCTAATTCCTTATCACCATGTGAGCTGCTTCCCTCCACCACACTCTTCCTCCATGATGTTCAGCCTCATCTTGAGTCCCAAGGAATGGAGCTGGTCTTTATGGACTAAGACCTCTGAAACTGTGAGCCCTCAAATGTTTCTCCTCTACAGTTGCTCTGGTTGGGTCTTTTAGTCATAGAGCAGAAGAGTTGACTAAAAACACTGGGTATTGGTGTGGTGTGGATTTGCTAACTGAAGTGAGAGAACCTAAAGGCTAGGGATTAAGTCAGGGCTCTTTGAATCATCAGACCTTCCTTTTTTGACATCTCTTGATCCTAAACCTTGCAGGATCTAGGTATCGTTTAATTTAGGAAATATTTTTTTTCTTGTAATCCGTAGTTTCACCAGGAGCCAATAGAAACACTGGCTCAAAAGGAAAATGCAATGTTTTGCTTGGTTTAGTAGAAGCACGGCACTCAGGCCAAGAGCTATAATAATCTCATTGTACTATGCTTACTCTTTGTTGGATGTTGCTATTAGTTTGTTGGAAGGAAATGGAGGTGGTTAAATGTTGCCAGCCCTCCTTGCTGGAAGAGCTTCAAGTTTTCTTTTCTCCTTAAATGTAAGTCCAGACCAAAGGCAGGCAAAAAGCCATGCTGGCCTCCTTTGACCCGCCCCCCACCCCTCCGTGAGAAGGCCTGGGTAAATAGCCTATAGTATTTTCTCGAGGCCAACCACAAAGTATCTCTTTTGCTAGGCCTCAACTTGGTCCTGCTAATAAGTTCAGGTGCCTTCTCCACTCAGGGGGCAGCTTCTGTTATATTTTGACAAGACCAGAGGTGTATGCTTGCAAGGCATAGATAAGAAGGAGAGTGGAAGAGGCCAGAGAATGTCCAATTCTGTACCCTTGGCTAGGCATTTGCTGCCTTCTCAGCTAGGGTGGATTAAGGGAGCCTTTAGGTCCCTTAGTGGCTACACTGTGCCATGACAGAGAGATGCATGATCTGCTAGAATTCGGTTAAAGGGCATCCTGGATCACAGGCCTGGAAACCAAGAAACAATAGAAGAAACTAGGGGTGTTTGGTTTAGAATAATGAAGATTTTCAAGGACCAATGTCCCTTTAAATATTTACAATGTTTGTGGAAGAGACACTATTTATTCTATATGGGAGTAAACAGCAAAATTGAGATGGACACGGGGGCTGGGGATGTGGCTCAAGCAGTAGCGTACTTGCCTGGCATGCACGCGGCGCTTGGTTGATCCTGAGCACCACATACAAATAAAGATGTTGTGTCCGCCGAAAACTAAAAAAAATAAATATTAAAAAAAAATTTGAGATGGAGAAATAAGTTGCTAGGAAGCAGGTGTTTGCCTCAATATTAAAAGTAGCTCCCCAGTGGGTGGGCTGCCTCACGTCCACCAGTACCCAGAGCCCTTGGTCCTGGGAAACGGGGTGTGGCCAGAAAAGGGCTGTCCTCTCACCCACCACCAAATGCACCTCTGTGGGGAACCTGGCCCTAACCCTGCTCCTGGGTCGGGGGTTTTGTTCAGAGCAGAGCTGGTTCCTTGCTGGGATCTATTGAAAGTCAGCCCTCAACACAAGGGTTTGTAAAGAAATAAAATATGTTCATTTTAAAACTAGCTCACTGGAGATACTTAAAAAGGTGTTGCTGAACATGTGGCAGTGCACTGGGAAGGCTCATTTTAGGTAGAAGGCTGCCCATTTCTACAATCCCTTGCCCCAGGCTATCTGGGATAGTTCTGTTCTCAATATTTTGTCAGTAACTGAGTCTGTGAACAATTATATGTCCCAGAAACTCCAGGAGGCTTATGTTCATTCCACACCTCTTAGAAGGCCTCTTGTTTTGTACAAATAGCATTAAAAATGTTTGTCTAATAGTGTCCTGATTTGTGGCTCATGCAGCCAGCTTCAAAGACTGCGCATTTATCAGACAAGATTAAGTAATTATTTTAGATTATCCATTGAAATGGTAGCAGAATGAGCAGTAGAACCAAGATCTGACCTCTCTGGACATTATCTGAGATTTTTGAGAATCCTGGGTCAAATGGGGCTGACTTTCTGTGATGAGTTAGATCTGTTTAGCTCTGTCTGCCTCCGTTAGTCCTTCCCCTTAACACATTTCCTTAGTGCTCACTTTTCTCTGCTAGTTTGGTTTGACCATGGTGCAGTATGAAATGAGACTGAATTTGCTATGGAAGTGAGCTGTTATTATTCTGGAGACGAGCTATCACCTTTGCAAGGACAAACTCTGGTGTGATTAAATGTCCTATGCTAGTCCTATGTGTAAAGAGTTGGCTGTTGCTTTAGAGGCTGTAAGTCCTTGAGGGCAAGGAGCAGATTACTCAGGATCTCCAGGCAGCTAATAAGACCTTCACCCTGTGGGCATTTGATAGTTATTTGGTGCTTGCTTTTTTCCTCCCATGTAATTCTCAAGATTCCGTCATCCAAGGAGCCTGTTCCACCTTATTGAGTTCAAGCTCAACTCAGGGATAAGGCTTTGGGAGAGGAATAATAGGCTTCCCACATGTCTCCGTTTTAAGTATAATGAGTTGATCTGAGAACCTAGATACCATGGTGATAGATACCATAGAAATGAAGAGCAGAGAAGTGGAACAGAAAGGACAGACCCAAAACATCTGGGGTCTGGAAGCTGTGTTTTTGTGGCACTGATATTTATTTTTAAGTCAATGCTATTATTTATCACATCCCTTCATAGCCTCTGTCCTCCTGGGAACATAAATGCTTTCTGCTTCCTTTTGCTCTTGGGTCTTGAGAGGAGTAGAAATGCTGCCTTCTGCAAAGAAAGGTGCATATCATTGTCACTGTTCCTTTTGTGTGTGTGCCACCTGATGTTTCATTGCATGTTTATGCACATTACTTTTCTGATTTGAACCTATATCAGGGGCAGACAGTATTCACCCATTTTTTTCTGATGAATTTGAGGTTCAGGGACTAAGTAACTTGTCCAGTATCACATGGAAAGTGAATGACCAGAGCTAAACTACTGCTTCCTGTTTCCTCGAGTAGACCTGCCTTTGCTGTGACTGTACTGTGCAGTCATGGGAATTCCAGGGAGGCTGGACTGATCCTCTGGAGTGCTCAGAATGCCTGGAGAAGCAGCTGGCTTATCTGCACAAAGCCCACGGGATAATGCGGTCAGCTGCAGAAGAATTTTACTAGTTTTATTACACAAATGCACTCTACTTTCTAGACGGACAGCATTCCAAACAGCACCTTGCCAGCTGCAGTGAACTTTAGGGCTCTCAGCTTAATCTGCCTGTGCTAACCCAAACACCAGGCTTGAGAATGGCTGCACAGATGCCTTCATCTCCTCAAAGTATCATGGGACAGACTGAGCTCAGACTGAGCCAAATGCAATGCGAAACAGAACCCTGGGCATATGTGAGCACGTTCCCACCTCATCCCT